ATGATGGGATGGATGATGGGATGGATGATGGGATGGATGAAGGTGGGATGATGGGATGGATGATGGGATGGATGATGGGATGGATGATGGGATGGATGATGGAGGATGATGGAGGATGATGGGATGGATGATGGGGGATGATGGGATGGATGATGGAGGATGATGGGATGGATGATGGGAGGATGATGGGATGGATGATGGGAGGATGATGGGATGGATGATGGGATGGATGATGGGATGGATGAAGGTGGGATGATGGGATGGATGATGGGATGGATGATGGGATGGATGATGGGATGGATGAAGGTGAGATGATGGGATGGATGATGGGATGGATGATGGATGGATGATGGGGGATGATGGGAGGATGATGGGATGGATGATGGGATGGATGATGGAGGATGATGGGGGATGATGGGATGGATGATGGAGGATGATGGGATGGATGATGGAGGATGATGGGGGATGATGGGATGGATGATGGAGGATGATGGAGGATGATGGGATGGATGATGGGATGGATGATGGGGCATGATGGGATGGATGATGGAGGATGATGGGAGGATGATGGGATGGATGATGGGATGGATGATGGGAGGATGATGGGATGGATGAAGGTGGGATGATGGGGATGATTGGCGGATAGTGGGGGATGGTGGGGGATGATGGGGGGATGATGGGGATGATTGGCGGATAGTGGGGGATGATGGGGGGATGATGGGGGCACGATGGAGGATGATGGGGGACTATGGAGAAATGATAGGGGGATGATAGGAAGATGATGGAGGATGATGGTAAGATGATGGGGGGCTGGTGGAGGGATGAATGAAAGATGATGGGGGATGAAAGGAAGATGATGGGGAATGATGGGGGGATGATGGAGGAGGATGTGGGGATGAAGGGAAGATGGTGCAATGAATGATTGGAAGATGATGGATGTTAGGAAGATGATGGATGGTAGGAAGATGATGGATGTTAGGAAGATGATGGGATGATTTATGGAGAATATGGGATGATATGGGAAGGATCAGCGAGGGCTGATGTACAATTGATTCCACCCTGCTGGCATTCAGGAAGGGTGTAAGTAGTTGGAGGATTTTGGGAGATGTCTGTTTTTTTTTTAATCATAGTAAAATACATATACCATAAAGGATACAGATCATTTGAGCTCCATGAACTTGATTTGGTTTCATTTGAACTCACATGAAGTAAAATTCACATCACGTACAGTGGCACATGCCTGTAATTCCATTGACTCGGGAGACTGAGGCAGGAGGATCACAAATTCAAAGCCACCCTCCATAACTTATTGAGACTCTGAGCAACTTAGCAAGACCCTGTTTCAAACTAATAAATAAAACTGGCTGGGGATGTGGTTCAGTGGCAAAGCACCCCTGGATTCTATTCCTAGTGCCAAAAAAAACTAAAAAGTAAAAGAAATAAAATTAACCATTTTATAATGATCAGTTCAATGTTTCTCGATGCCTCTACTACCCCTTTTCTGACATTCCATCACCCCAAAAGATGACCAGTTCCCACGAGCAGCCCCCCATTCTTCCCAGTCCCCGGGCTCATGTCCCATCTCTGGACTCTCCTGGACCTCTCCTAACACTAGTCACACACTGTGTGAGGCCTTCTGTGTCTGGATGTCACGGAGCACGAAGTCCTCAGGTCTGTCCACGCAGCAGCTGTGTCTCCTCCCGGCTGCCCTGGCCAGGGAGACTCAGGTGGATGGGCTGCTTCGGCTGGGTCGTCTCGCTCTGGCCCTGGACGAGTGATCTTCCTGTGTGTGGACACGGACATGAATCTGTGGGTTTTCTTGGAGTAGCTCCTTTGCGGGGCCTTGTGGGGATGCCGGGTTTGCCTTCCAAGGAGTCCCCTGGCTGTCTCCCCAGCAGCGGCACCATGCCACCTTCCTCACACCGTGTGCGGGTCTGAGTCACCCACAGCCTTGCAGGCGCCATGCTCCAGGGTTTTGACTGGGGAAGTCCTGTGGGACTGAGGTGCTCCTAGTTGTACCAAGAGGTCTGTGTTTCCCTAATGATAGGTGACACCCAGTGTGTCTTCACGCACTTGTGGCCACTGTGGGTCTGGAGAAATGTCCATTCAGTTCTATGCTCCTTGGTAAACCAGATTGCCTGCCGCTTTGCGACTGAGTCGTAATGACACTTTATGTCTTCTGGGTTCCTGGCCCTTTGGACCTCATGGAACATCTGTGAAAAGACACCACAGCAGCCACCGCCCCACGACCGCCCCAGGCCCGCCCTCGACCCGTCACTCCTCACAGCAGCTGTGGCTGTCCCCTGCCGGTACTGTCTGCAGGTGGAGGAGGCGGGGTCTGGCTGGCTTCTTCTGCAGGTGGGCTGAGGATGCCTCTTCTCCTTCCTGGGAGAGCCAGTGCACTTGCCACCCAGGACGGCTGCACCCTATGGCTGGCACAGCCTGAGGTCCAGGGAAGACTGAGTCTACCTCGGGGAGACAGTGGGTCACAACGTCATCCCAGTGACAGCCCTGAAGCCACGGCAGGGGCCATCTGGGACCCAGCTATCAGCAGAGGCAGAGAAGCCCAGTGAGGGAGTGGCCAGCAGATGTCTGACGCTGGGTCTTCAGGAGACCCAGAGGCCCTCCCCACCCGTCCAGGGCTGGCTTCACAAGAAGCCCGCATGGCCCCTCCACAGTTTGCACAGTCCAGGTGGCCAGTCTGTGAGCCATGAAGCCAGGACCCTCCTGAGGACGGCTGCCTCCTCCTGTCATCCTGTCAGCCGGGGGTTGGCCACCCTCCCTCCCAGGCTCAGAGGAGCCCAGAAGCAGCAGGAGCCTACCTGAACCCCACACGGGGTGGGGGCGGGCCTCCTGCAGCTGGAAGTCAGGGGCCCAGCACCCTGGGGCCTGAGGCAGCATGCAGTGAAGACCCTGACCTGATGACGTTCACATCCTCACTGTGCTGTGCTGGCTGCTGCCGAGTGAGTCTGGACTGAGCTCCCAACCCAGAAGCAGTTGGCCCAGGTCACAATGCCAGTGGACAGCTGGGGACTTGAATCTCACCTCCTGTGCTCCCCATGACAGGTTAGGGTCCACCTGGGGGTCACAGGGGAGACAGGGACCTGCCTGGGTGGGTCACAGGGGAGACAGGGCCCTGCCTGGGAGGGTCACAGGGGAGACAGGGACCTGCCTGGGAGGGTCACAGGGGAGACAGGGCCCTGCCTGGGTGGGTCACAGGGGAGACAGGGCCCTGCCTGGGAGGGTCACAGGGGAGACAGGGCCCTGCCTGGGAGGGTCACAGGGGAGACAGGGCCCTGCCTGGGAGGGTCACAGGGGAGACAGGGCCCTGCCTGGGTGGGTCACAGGGGAGACAGGGCCCTGCCTGGGAGGGTCACAGGGGAGACAGGGCCCTGCCTGGGTGGGTCACAGGGGAGACAGGGCCCTGCCTGGGTGGGTCACAGGGGAGACAGGGCCCTGCCTGAGGTCAGAGGCCACCTGGATGCCCATTGCCTCTGGCAGGTGGGAAGACACAGGCGGACACCAGGCTGGGCAGGAACAGGCTGACATGCAACATCACACAACAGGTGGGCCAAGCCCCAGGCATCAGGTCACTGCAGGTGAGATGGCAGTGGCCCTGCTCAGGACCACTGTCACAGACAGCAGGGCAGGCTGGCCAGGGCAGCATGGGGTCTGACCTCATTGGGGGTGCCCTGGGAGTAGGCGAAGTCGGGACCACTCACCCAGAGGGAGATGGTAAGTGAAGGGCCTGGGAGCACAGAGCAGGGCTCAGGCCAGGCCAGGCCAGGTGCTCTAGGGCCTGGGCGGCACACACATCACGGCCAGCTTTGCAGGGCTCCCGTGGCAATGCGTCACAGGCACATGCCTGTCCATAGAGAAGGTGCACATACGAGTGTGCACAGACAGCGCACGGCTCACAGTGACGCATAGCAGCCCTGGTGCACAGTGCACCCCGCCGTGGACCTGCGGTGCACATGCTCACACACGTGGTCCTGACATGCATGACAGTCACGCTGCCCACACGGACTCGATGGTGACGTGCGCGTGCCTTCCTGGAATATGCTAGCACACAGATGCAATCAAGTGAGCACACAGGAGGCCCAGTGACAAGCGGCTGGCGGGGATGGGCAAGAAGGCTCTCGTTGCCCTGGCAACACATCCTGGGCCAACCAGGCCTCCTTAGCGCTGCTCAACTGCTCAACTCCGCGGGTGGTGGGAGGGGGACTGCACTGGACCCTGACCCTGCACTTGGCTCCTCGGTGGCTCCCTGAGGAGTCTAAACAGTCTGTGTCCAGGGCTGAGCAAGAACAGCTTGGCCTGGGGACCAACGGGGACAGGACCCGGCCTGGGGAGAGGGGAAATGGTGCTGCCCAGGGCGAGGGGGACACAGTTCAGCACTTGGAGGACAAGGAGACACAGGGCCCTGGAAGGGCAGTGGGGGTCATGGCCTGGCTTAAGAATCTCAAAGGGCTTTGGTTGGAGTCAGTGGGGCCTGACTCTGAGCCCTCAGCCAGGGACAACCCAGCCCAGTCCTGCGGGTTGCTCTTCTGAGGGTCCTGAACTCAAGGCCAGCCCAGCCCTCTCCTCTGCACCTCCCTTTCCCCACCCATAAAGGGGCACACTCAGGGTGGGGAGGAGGAGGAGACCCATCGCTGGACAGAGGCAGCCTTCCTCACCCCAGCAAGAGGAACTCAGTGGCCAGAAGAGGATGGGGCTGGGAGGGCCCTCGTGGCACCTCCCGCGCCCCTGCACAAGTGAGAAGCTGGTAGGGACAGGGTGAGGTGCCAGCCCTGCTGGGGGCTGCTGGAAGGAGGAGCTGGTGGGGCTGGAGGTGTGGGCAGTCTCCCGTGCCCAGACCTGCTGGCAATAGGCCTGGCATCTCCTGCCACCCCGGAGTCTTCCAAAGCAGAGGATCAGAAAGGAGTTCAGGCCCCACCATCCTCCCTGGCATCTCCCCAGCGAGTTCCCCTCATTGTTAGACAGCGGAGCCAGCAGACCTCTGCCTCTGCACTCCTGAAACACCTTTATTGAACTAAAAACAGCGTTTATAAACAAACACGTGTGGGGGAGGTGCCGTAAGGATTTATCCACAGCCAACTTCAAACACACAGATATCAAACAGTGCAGGGGTACATAAAATAGGGGCCCCCCCCTGGGAGAACAAGGAACAGGAGAGGTCAGAGTCCGAGAAGGGAGGTGTGTGGCTCCAAGCATTCAACCTCACACGGGCCTCTGCTTGCTGCCCCCACTGAAGGCCTGGGCCCTCGATGCTCCAGGGACGTGCAGCAAGAACCGGCTCTGGGTCCCGGGGAGTCTGCTCCGCACCTCCCTCGTGGGACTTGGAAATCTGGGGTCAGGAGGAACAAGGCGCACAAGGGATGACAGCCAAGCAGGGGGCTCCACCAGGGTCCTACCGACTCACTGCCCACAGGCAGCCTGCCACAGACTTGCGGAATGTGGGAATCCGCACAGAAGTCCTTCAGGGGTGCACAGCCAACCCAGGGAGACCAGTGGCCAGCGAAGAACCAGGTGAAGAACCAAGTCAGGCCAGTCCCACCGTCCAGACCCCACCCCACAACAGCCCACCCACATTACATGTGTGGGGGAGGGCTGACCCAGGGTGGCCAGCAGGCAGGTGGACGATCCCAAGGGACCTCGAGGGGCCACAGGCAGAGCGTGGCCAGAACTCCACTGCACTCCCCGGAGCAGCTCTACTTCCTGCTCCAGAAGCAATGGCTGAGCGGAGCCTGGGGAAGCAGAGCCGGCTGCAGGGGGCTGCAGGTAGCGCAGGCTCTAGACACAGGGAGGGGCACCCCTGCCCTTCACTTCGGGGCTCAGGGGGGCGTCGGGCACTGCTCCCTGGGTGTCTGGGTAGAGCGGGGTGCAGCAGAGGCCAGGCTGAGCTCAGCCCCGGGGCCTCGGCCACCTCTGGACTCCCAGACCCTGAGAACCTCAGTCACTCTGCCCGGGAGGGGGGAGGGGACGTTCAGCTGGGAAGCAGCCCACCCTCCTCCTCCAAAAGGGTCATTTCACGAAAAGTCATATTCGGATCTCCACTGGGATCCAGGAAACCCCCAGGGGCATCGGGGCCAGGCCCACCTCCCTATCTACCCTGGCCCCCAGAAGCACTGTGGTCAGGCCCACATGGAGGAGAGGGCTTCTCCCTCTGCACCTCACAGGAAGGGAAGCAGGGAGGTGAGGGGCAGCTCCTTCTCCCCGAGCAGCGTGTCCCGCTTGAGGCTGCTGCCCTTGTTGACCACCTTGATCCTGAGGGCCAGTTTCCGGACACTGGCGGGCCCCAGGCCATCAAAGAAGAAGTCCTCGTTGAAGACAGGGTGGCGGCTGTTCTTGATGATGGTGCTACGCTGCTTCTGCAGCTTGCCTGGCACGAGGCACAGGCCCACGCAGCAGTTGATGCTGCGGCCGTCGTAGGGACGCTCGTAGAGGCCCTCTGCGGCCAGCAGGCGCACCCGCAGGCGGGCCTGGGCCGCCTCGTACTCGGCCAGCAGGCGAACACTGCCCCTGGGGCCCATCCGGACCGTGTGTTCCCCTCGAGGTGCCTGGCCCGACTCGGGGCCCGGTTCGGGAGCAGCCCGGCGGGTCAGGCGGCGACGGACTCCAGGGCTGGTGTCCGGTGTGCTGTCATCAGCTGACAGAGAGCCATGGCGGCCCACGGAGTGCTTAAGCTGGCTCACCTTGGCCTGGCCGTCCTGGGCGAAGCCTTTGAGCAGCGACATGGAGCGGGACAGCAGCGGGGACCCGAATGGGGAGGACTCGGCGGAGGATCCTGTGTCGCTCTCCCCACCACTGAAGTAGCGGCTGGGGCTCATCAGGGCCCCCCCGGCCTCCCTGGGCCCCCCTTCGCCCCCATTGGCCCTGGTGCCTGCCCGCGAGCGCCCTGGGCCCGGGGAGCCCACCTGGGCCAGGGCCCCATGCTCACTGTGGAAGAGGGACTCCTTGCGCCGGGTGTGGGGGCTCTCAGCCAGCGTGGCGAAGCCGTACGACGTCTGGGCCTTGGGCACCGAGGCCAGGGACATGGCTCCCTGGGTCTGGGGGTCAGCGCTGGTGGCCTCCTCGGCGGGCCAGTCCTCAGCGCTCTCTATCTGGATGACGTGCCTGGTGGCCGCCTTCAGCAGGCTCCTGCTCTCCGCAGCCAGCTTGGCGGGCAGCCGGGGGCTCCGGGGTGAGCGGCGCGGGGCCGCCGGGGCCAGGTTCTGTTCTGAGGTGGACGGGCCCAGCTCAGCGGGCCCCTCTGCCTCGGCTGGCGCTGAGGGCAGCTTGGGAGGGATGAAGAAGTCAGGGATCTTGTCGGGTGTCAGCACGTTGCTGTACCGGGGCCCCTTGGAGGCCTTGTCGCCCGACTCGCCCCCAATTCCCCGGGCGGCACCGTGTTCCCCGGACCCACGAAGCCGTTCCAAAAACCACATGTTGTTCTTTCTCATGGGAGCGGTCAGCCAGGAGCCAGGAGAAGAGCAGCCAGGTCTGGGAAGAGAAGCGGGGCCAGGGGCGGTGCTGGTCCCCCAGGATCCAACCGGCCGGAGGGGCAGGGGGGGAGGAGGGCGTCGCTGGGGGCGGCCGGCGCTGCGCAGAACAGGGGTGGGGCTCCCCGCTCCCAGGGGCAGGGGCGGAACTCTGGGCCGAAGCAGACGGAGGGGCTGCTGGCTGCGGGGAGCCCCAGGAGGCAAAGGCCCTCTCCCACCCACCCCGGTTGCAGGGTCTCAAACCCGGGCGCCCCCTCAAACCAGTCCCCGGGGAGGACCAGCCGCGGGGGGTGGCCGCCAGCGCCGGCCCCGCCCCCGGCCCCCGCCCACCTGCGGCTTCTCCCGGGACGCGGCGCCCGCGCGGGCGCGGGCCGCACGGGGCGGACCTGACTCACCGGCCACGGGACCGGGACGCAGCGCGCGGCTCGCAGGCTCGGCGCAGGCCTGGGCGCAGCTCGGCGGCCGCAGCTCAGCGCCCGCAGCGCGGAACCGCCCACCGCGCCGTATTCCTCCGAGTGCGGCCGCCGCGCGGGGCGGAGCCTCCCGGTACCCGCGGGGGCGGCGAGCGGCGGGATCCGACCCCCGCCACAGCCGAGGGCGTCCGTCAGAGCAGCGCCGCAGCCTCTCCGACCCCCGTCGGACCAGGCCTCGGGGCAGCAGGTGTGTAGGCGAAGGGAAGGTGGCCCTCCAGCAGGACGGTCGACCCCCCACCCCCCCAGGATGTTGGGGAAGAGTGCACTCATACGTTGCTGGTGGGACTGCAGATTGGAGTAACCATTCTGGAAAGCAGTATGGAGATTCCTCAGAAAATCTGGAAGGTTTGCAATGGAACTACCATTTGACCCAGCTATCCCACTCCTCGGTTTATGCCCAAAGGGCTTAAGATTGGTGTACTGTACTGAGACAGCTGCATCAGTGTTCATAGCAGCTCAATTCACAGTAGCTAAGCTATGGAACCCACCTAGGTGCCCTTCAATAGGTAAATGCATAAAGAAAATGTGGTCCATGTACACAATGGAATATTACTCAGCCATAAAGAATGAAATCATGGCATTTGCAGGTAAATGGTTGGAATAGGCGGCTACCGTGCTAAGTGAAATAGGCCAATCCCAAGAAACCAAAGGCCCAATGTTCTCTCTGATCTGTAGCTGCTGACTCACAATGGGGTGGGGTGGAGGTTTACCAGATTGGGCAGGGGGGAATGGGGAGAAAGGAGGGGGTATGGGAATGGGATAGACAGTGGAATGAACTGGCCCTCACTTTCCTATGGGCTTATAGGAATATACGACGGGCTGTACCACCACAAAAATGGGAAGTTACACTCCATGTACATAGAATATGCTATTCTACCACCCCCAGGGCCCAAGGGCTGCACCTTCTCTTCAGGTCAGGGTGGCTGAGGACCTGCTTGCTGGGTCAGTGGCCTGGGTGCTGGGAGATCCTGAGGGAGGTGAGGCCCCCAGCCCTATGCCCCAGAGGGAGGGTGCCACGCGTGCAGGTGGTGGCTCCCTGGCCACAGGGCGCCGGGCCACGATGGAGGGCCACGCCACTGGCAGGTGCACAAGGGAGGGTCAGCTGGGGCTGAGGCCAGGCCGGGGCAGCGCTGAGACCCCAGTGGTCTGCCAGCCAGCCCACTCCACCTCCGTCCTCACCTGGCCCCCAGCCTCAGGGTCCTCGCCTGCAACCAAGGCAGCCACTTCCCTGTTCAGTCTCCCTGTGAGGCAGCCAGATGGCGGGTGGCCAGGACCCACTGGAGCGGCAGACACAGCGCCTCGTGAGGTCAGAGATTCCCCAGGAGCCTGCCGCTCCAGGAATGGACGGAGGCCTCCTGAGCAGCCCCCGTCCATCCCTGGACCAGGCGGAGCGAGAGGCCTGTGGTCCCGATGGGGAGCGAGGCTGTTCCCGCTCTGCTCACCCCGACATGGCCACGGCCTCCCCTGTGCCACCCCCACGAGGACAGCCCACTGTCTGGTGGGGAGACACACACCAGAGGCGGGACACTCCCCCAGCTCCAGGGAGCCTGATCTTCCCCCCACCCCGCCTGAGGCAGTTGCTGGGCAGAGGCCCCCTGGGAGGAAGGGTGCTGGAGGTCTGGTCCTTGCCACGACCCCAGGCCCAACCTGGCACAGTGCAGCCTTTGGTGACTTTTCCAGACACATGGATAGGTCTGACGCCCAGCAGGACCCTCGCTCGACCCCTGCTGGCCTGCAGGAGATGCCCCACGGCCTGGGGAGCCTCCAGGCCCCTGGCGCTGCACAGATGGGGTGGCCAAGTCAGCAGGGCCCTGCTGGCCTTCTGGTGACCCGGCAGGTCTGAGTCCACCATGGCCCAAGCAAGGGAAGGGATGGTCCAGAAGGACACCAAGCTCCTTCGAGCTGCGCGACTCTGGAAAATAACCTGGAACTGCTCAGCTAGGGCTCTGGCCCTGTGCCCACACTCCCTACGGCGTGACTCTGTGCAAGTGTCCACATCTTCCTGTGCCTCAGACCCTGGATCTCACCTCAGCCCCCAGGCCAAGCACAAGACGCCCAGGCCGAGTGTCGGCGGGTCGCCGTCTGGCAGACGCTGCTGTAGGGAACAGCCTCCCAGCCAGGGAGGTACTGGCCCCGGCCCAGCCTGCTCCCTCTCCTGGCACCTGCCACACTTCGGGGCTTGGAGACTGAGCCAGAGACCCCACACCTGCCCGGTTGCCCCTATGGCCCCCACCCTGGGGGGCGGGAGGGGCCGGCCCTTCAAGCCGGGGAACTCTGCCCATCAGTCAGCAAATGAAGGCTCTGCCAGCCCAGGAGGCCCCCTGCCTCCCTCTGCACAACCTGGGGCTGACAGAGTGTGGAGACCGCCGGGCACCCCCAGCCATCTCCTGGGGTTCAGAGCCTGGCTGGAGAGGGAGGGCGCATCCTCCACAGGCTGAGTGGCCCGGCATCCCGACCCCGAGGAGGAGCCTTCCCAGGACAAGGCCTGAATCCCAGGCTTCCCGGGCAGCCCCGGCACAGGCCCAGAGGAAGAACAGGCCACGGCCAGTCCAGAGCGGCCACAGCACCCCTGCGGCTCCATCGCGTTACACCACTGTCTGCCCTGTTGGTGGTGGGCAGGACCCAGGTGCAGGCTTCTGGGCGGCTCACCTCCGGGCTGCCCCAGGGGCACTCCCACCCACAGCGAGACCTCCTGTCCCCTGGGGCGGGACCCATGGGCAGTCCAGGGAAGGACAGCAGCTCGCCGGGCTGCTCAGAGCCAGACTTGACCCCAGGACTCTCCTTTCCTCTCTGTCCCCCACCCCAAATCTCCCTGAGGCCAAGGCCAGGGCCAGGAGTGTCTGTTGACTGGCTAGTGGAAGGTAGAAAGGGGCGGGGTGGGAGAGCCTCTGGGGCCAGGTCAAGCTCCTCACCCACTTGGCCCCGGGGCACCCAAGCCCAGCAGGCAGGAGGGCGCGTTGGGGCGGGGCCTGCTCTGCCACCCAGCTGTGTGGCCTCCTGGGCTTCCTCCGGTTGTCAGCTGCAGAGTAGGGAGGACATGGGCCTCCCTGCAGGAGGACTCTGTGAGGATGGAGTGGGGGTGAGGCCTGCGCCTTGGAGGAACCGGGCTGTGGGCGAGGAACAGAGCACAGGAGCTCTCGTCCACAAGGGCCTGTTGTGACACTGCCCAACACTTCCGGCAGACCCCAGATCTCCTCCCCGAGTCCTTCCCTGTCAACTCCAAACCTCCCACCCAAGGATCTCTCAGCACCCCATGCTTAAAAGACCCAGCAGCTCCCCCTGGCACCACGCCTCACTTCAGGCTGTGTCCTCTACCCTGCACCCTCTGATCTTACCTGTAGCTAAACATGCCAGACTCCACACACCACAGGGCCTTTGCACCTGCTGCCAGTGCTGCACAGAACTCCACCCCTGTTCCTGAGTCTCTCCCATTTATCTTCCAATTATAGTCCCTGTGTCATTCCCACAAAGAAGCTCTCCAGATTGCTTCGGTTCTCTGAATTCCAGGACTCTCTCCTTTTCACAGATGTCACTATAGATTTAATGATCAATGTCACTTAAATTAAACCATGAGGGCAGATCTGTCTTGGGCACTTTTGCATCCCTGTTGTCCACCAGAAGCACTGGCAGATAAGAGGTGCTCAATGACGACACGTTAAAGGAAGTTGGGTGGACGGTTGGTTGGTTGGGTGGGTGGGTAGATGAATGGATGGACAAATGGTGGATGGATAGAAGGATAATGGATGGATGGATGGTGGATGGATGAATGGTGGATGGATAAAATAGATGGATGGATGGTGGATGGATGGAGGGTGGAAGGATTGATGGTGGATGGATAGATTGTGGATGGAAGGTGGATGGATGGATGGTAGATGGATGGGATGGATGGACAGATGGAATGGAAGGATGGTGGATAGATGGATGGGTGGTGGATGGATAGATAAGTGGTAGATGGATGGATAATGGATGGATGGTGGATGGTGGATGGATGGATGGCAGATGGATGGGATGGACGGAAGGTGGGAGGATTGGTGGTGGATGGATGGTGGGTGAGTGGATGGATTGTCGATGGATGGATAATGGATGGTTGGAAGGTGGATGTATGGGATGGATGGAGGATGGATGGATGGATTAATGGAGGATGGATGGATGGATAGATTTTAGGTGGATGAATGGTGGGTGGATGGATTGTGGATTAATGGGTGATGACTGGGTGTGGATGGATGGATGGATGGTGGATGATGTGGATGGGTGGATTATGGATGGATGGATATGGATAGATGGATGGTGGATGGATAGATTGGATGGTGGATAGATAGTGGATGGATGGATGGTGGATGGATGAATGGATGGATGGATGGTAGGCGGATGGTATGGATAATGGGTAGAAGGATGGTTGGATGGATGAATGGATGATGGATGGATGGGGTGGAAGGATTGATGGTGGATGGATGGATGGATGGGGTGGATGGATGGATAGATGGATGGATGGTAGGTGGACGGTATGGATAATGGGTAGAAGGATGGATGGATGGATGAATGATGGATGGATGATGGATGGATGGATGATGGATGGATGAATGGTGGATGGATGGATGTGGAGGATGATCAATGGATTAATCAATGATGGATGAATGGTGGATGGATGGTTGGATGGTGGATAGATGGATGGCAGATGGATGGGATGGACGGAAGGTGGGAGGATTGGTGGTGGATGGATGGTGGGTGAGTGGATGGATTGTCGATGGATGGATAATGGATGGATGGATGGTGGATGGATGGGATGGATGGATGGATTAATGGAGGATGGATGGATGGATAGATTTTGGGTGGATGAATGGTGGGTGGATGGATTGTGGATTAATGGGTGATGACTGGGTGTGGATGGATGGATGGATGGTGGATGATGTGGATGGGTGGATTATGGATGGATGGATATGGATAGATGGATGGTGGATGGATAGATTGGATGGTGGATAGATAGTGGATGGATGGATGGTGGATGGATGAATGGATGGATGGATGGTAGGTGGATGGTATGGATAATGGGTAGAAGGATGGTTGGATGGATGGATGAATGATGGATGGATGATGGATGGATGAATGGTGGATGGATGGATGTGGAGGATGATCAATGGATTAATCAATGATGGATGAATGGTGGATGGATGGATGGACAGATGGTGGCTGGATGGTTGGATGGTGGATAGATGGATGTATGGGTTAAAGATGGCTGGCTGGAATGGTGAGTGAACTGATGGCTCTGGGTCTCCAGGTCTCTGACCCCAGCCTGCCAGAGGTGGGGTCCTGAGGACATCTGCAGCTCTGGGGAGATTTGCCAGGCGTCTCCACAGAGACCAGTAACGCGAGTCCACAGGGCTGAGTTCACTTTATCTTGGAGCGGAAACAGAGGGGTGGGGGGCCAGCCCACAGGTCGGGTGTAGCTCCCAGCCAGGTCCCTGGCCCACTGTCTGCGCCCCAACAGCCCCAAGGCCAACCTGGGTCCCTGGGCCTCCACTTGGATGCCCACCAGAACCCGTCCATGTGGAGGTGGGCCCACAGAAGAGGCTGTGGCCATGCCCAGGGTTAGTTACAGATTCAAGTGTCCAGTCCAGGTCAACGGCTGGGAGGGGAAGGCAGGGCAGCTGTGGGCACGTCTTGGTGGGCAGTCACATCCCTCCTCCTGTACCAATGGGCAGGGGGCTTCCCAGGTGCCACTGTGACCACCAGGGCCCCAGGCTGCCCCACCCCAGTGTCAGTGAGTGGCCTGGCCTGAGACCCCCGAGCACCTGATTCCCCCCCAAACAGTCAGCGTGCACGCAGCTCCTCAGTTGGAAAGGCAGCCCAGCCAGGACAGGAGTCCAGTCCACACCAGGGCCAGGAACCCTCACGCTCCAGGGACACACGCCAAGTCCAGCCGGCAGGAGACTGCTGCCCACCATGGGACAGAGGAGGCTGCGTTTTGGTACGTTTCCTTTAAAGGCAAGAAAGGGTCTGTCTTTGGGTTGGGGCCCTGGCCGCAGGAGCCTCGCAGCAGGTGGGGCTCAGGCAGGGGGCACTCCAGAGGCTCATGCGGAGAAAGGAGCAGCAGTGGCAAGGTGTCCTGGCCTGAGAGGTCCGAGGGACGGCCGAGCACCACGAGGCCATGACAGGGCACCTGGGCGGCAGCAGAGCCATGGCCTGCAGGCAAGAAGGGAAGGTGAGTGAGCCACCCAGGCCCAGGGCCGAACCAGAGGGCCTCAGTAATGGACATTCTAGGGACCTCTTGGGCCGAGCAGCTTGAGAGAGACGTGGATCTGAGAGGGACCTGGAGAGGTGTGGAGAGAGGGCAGGAGAGGCAGGTCCCTGAGACCTCAGGCTGTGACAGGGCTGGGACTCCCTCATGCTCCTGCTGTGTGGCCCAGGGGAAGGCCTTAACCTTTCTGAGCCTGTCTCAGAATGTCAGCCTGTGAGAGGGAAGGCAGCCACCACTGCTGCACTAGTGCTGCCTAGTCCCACACCCAGGGAAGGGACATGGAAGCTCTGCACACAGAGAACACACGGACGGGCCACCCCGCCTTCTGGCCTGGTGGGAGCAGGGAGGGGCCGCCTGAGCTGGGGAGGCTGATCCAGGAAAGGGGACCAGAAGGAGACCGTGGCCATGGGGACCCGAGAGCAGCCTGACCTGGCCAGCAGCTTGGCCAGGAAAATTCCACAGTCCCCTGCTGTCCCCTCCTGCCCCGGTTGGGCGCCCAGATCCCTAAAGCCAGCCTCTCCTTCGTCCTGCCACTCCCCAGCCCCCACCTCACCCCAGAGCCCTTCTCCGGCCAGAGACCCCGGAGACTCCAGCCCCCGCCCTGGCCACTGCAGGTCCCAACGCCACCAACCCACAGCTCCCGGGCCCCACCTGGTGCCGAGCCACTCCCCTGGCTGCTCCCCACCCCGTCCCAGCTGTCCTCCAGGGCGGTCAGGAGGGAGGCCAGGCCCAGAGGGGCAGGGGCAGGGTGCGCACCCTGGTTCAGGGCTCCCGCGGGACCACACCACGCAGGTGCAGCTCGCTCTCAGCGGCCACGATGGGCTGCCCGTTCTGCAGGTGGTAGGCAATGAGGTGGCTGATGCTCTCGAACAGCACGTCCTTTGTCCGCACCTGCAGGACCAGAGACCTGGCATCGGTGCTCAGGGGCTAGTCCAAGAGGCCAGCCCCTGCCCTGTCCAGGCCTGCTGACTGGCATGTTCCCCCAGGGGCCCGTCTGCAGCCCAGTCAGAGCCACTGGGTCAGAGGACTCCGGGGTTTAGCCACAGAACCAGCCTCAGAGCTCAGAACCGCAGCAGGACCTGGGCCGCGCTTCCCACAGGGCGCTGAGGGGCGGCCTCTCAGAGGTCCTGACAGGTCCGAGCCCGGAACCTGAGAGCGTCTGCACTACCCGGGGGGGGGGCCTCGATCCAATGACTGGTGTCCTTATAAGAAGAAAACTTAGGACCAGGGACATCCAGGAAGACGGACAGCACTCGGATGTGGAGGCCGTGGGCATGGGAGATGGATCTACCAGCCAAGGGCAGGAGGCCGGCCGGCAGCCGGCACCCACTAGGAAGGGGGAGGGGCCGGGCCCAGATGTCCCCTCCCAGGACTCAGCCCTGCCCGCACCTCAGGTTTGGACTTCAGCCTCCAGAAGGTGGGAGAACAAAGGTCTGTGGCTTTAAGCCGTACGGTTTATGGCCATTTGCTGAAATAGCCCCAGAAAGTGATACACCCCGGAAATCTTAGAGAGGAAGACTCGGAAGTCAGAATCGCCAAGTGCAAACACCTGCACTAAAGGAGGGGACAGGTCACTGAGTCAGACGATGGATGCCAAAGAGACCAGCGCCAGCTGCTCGCTGCAGGCCTCCCGGGAAGAGCCTCGCCAGCGCTCAGCCGCTGGGCCCCGCCGGCCAGGGCACAGCGTCTCCACCTGCCAGGGCACCTGAACTGACGCAGGGGTCCATTACAGGAAACGGAACAGGCCCGGACAGAGCTGGCCCATCCCACGCCAGGCCGGAAGGGAGGCCTGAGAGTGGGTCAGGGAGGGCAGGCGCCTGAGTACCTGACCGGCAGAAAAGCGGGTGGCACTTCTGAGGTGGCTTCCACCCCAGGGGACCCTGCCTATGAGGCCAGAGGCCTCTGGACGCTGGAAAATGCCTGACACTAGAGCTCCCCGTAAACTAGAAAATGCTTTTTAAACTATAAAGCGCTTCAGAAACTGGAGGTGACGAGATCTCCCTTGCTTAAAGCAACTGTAAAATGCACCAAGAGGATAGAGAGAAAACTCCCTGATAAACGATGCAGATCAAAGACACGACTGATGACTTAGAGATCCAGATTCCAGCTGGACACGGCGGTGCACACCTGTCGTCCCAGCAGCTTGGGAGGCTGAGGCAGGAGGCTCAAAAGTTCAAAGCCAGCCTCAGCCTCAGCGAGGCCCTAAGCAACTCAGTGAGACCCCGTCTCTAAATAAAACACAACATGGGGCTGGGATGCGGCTCGGTGGTCGAGGGCCCCCGAGTTCAATCCCTGGTAACCCCCCAAAAAAACCCTCCAGATCCCAGAGTCGTGGAGATTGGATGGGGAGTGTCTGCAGCTGGCCACACCTCACCCCACCAGCCCCAACAGCAGGACCTCAGGGACGGGCCACAGGTGCCTCCCAGGAAGGATGAAGCGGGCTCTCTGTAGGCCATGGCGGGCCTGGCCCTGGCAGCACTTGTGTCCACCCCAAGCCCTCTCTCAACTGGAAGCAGCTGTGGGTCCTGCCAAGCAGCCTCCAACACCCTCCTGCAGCCTGGGAGGCCACCCAGCCCCGAAGCTTACCACACCTTCGGGGTCCACCAGCAGCAGGTGCTTGGGCTGCCCGGCCTGCATGCCCGTGAGGACGTACTGCCCGGGGTTGGTGACACTGTCACGCACCAGGAAGTCCCCGTCCACACGGAGCAGCTTCTCTGCTGCCCGCCGACTCATGCGGCCATGGTACCAGGGCTCCTGACGCAGCTGTTCCTCTGTGGGGGCAACTGGGGCCCGCCGGGTGGGGGGGCTGGGCCACTGGTCCTCCAGGGGAGGCAGGGGTGCCGTCCCACCCACCACCACCGAACACTCGTGCAGCTTCAGGGCGTCCTCGAAGGGTCCTGTGGGCAGGACAGGAGCACGTGTGCGCCTCCTCCGGGTCAGGAGTGTGCGGCCCCAGGGTGCCTTAGAGAGTCGGGCAGTCTCAGAGAGAGCCGGACTGGCCTCCCTGACCAGGGAAGGACAGCCCAGAACCCGGCACCCAGTGGGCACTGAAGAGGCACCACCACTCATCATTACGGCAGTAGGAAGAAGAAACAGAGGGCAGAAAACATGGGCTTGGAAACAAAAGCCTTCCAGCTTCCCGCAGGCCCTGGGGGCTGTCCCCACAGCGCCCAGGAGGAGGGGGGCTGCCGGGGACAGGAGAGGTGAGACACTCCAGGCCTCCCCACAGGCCTCTTTGAGCTGAGCCTCCTCCGCAGGCTGCACACCCCACAGGGAACAGGACAGGCTCCACTGTCACACTTGTCCTGTCCAGCGGAGACCCTGGTTGGACTAAGGATCCCTCGGGAGCAGCGGTGCCTCTCCCTGTGGACTGCAGTCACCCTGGGAAGGGGTGGTCCTCACCGAGTTGCAGGCAGCTCTGGTAGTAGGGTCCAGAGGCAGGAGCAGGGCTCCCCAGAGGGCGAGGCCATTCCCCAAGGAAGGCCCCAGAGCAGCCCAGCAATAGACCCCACAGACAGAGGCCCTGTGCAGGTCGGCCTTCCCCACCCGTGGGCTCGCAGCCTGTGGAGAGGGGCCCCCACCTACGCATATCAAACAGGTCCTTCTGGGGGCTGTCCTCGGGGGGCAGGGGCGCAGGGTCCACAGGTTCTGCAGCGTCCAGGCCCTGGGTGTTGACGTACAGATGGTCCTCGTAGTCGCGTGGCCCCCGGGCGTCAGCCTGCACATAGCCATCCCCCGGCTGGGCTGGGTAGGTGGGGAGGGGCAGGGGTCAGTGGGAGGGAGGGCAGCAGCAGGACCCGCCCATTCCTAGCAGCACATGGAGTGCCCGGTGGCCAGTGTGGTTTGGAGCCTGCAGCGGCATTTCTTAATGCCTACAGTGTTCACCCAGCTCCAAGGCCACAGCTGGCCCCGGCGGGCCCAGAGCCTCTCACTGGTCCTCCAGAGCCTCTCCTGGCCCACCTGGTGGCCAGCGGGTGCCAGGCTGCTCCACCTTGGCCAGGGGTGGCCGCTCCCTGGTTACCCTGGTTACCCTGACTTTCACTCCTCCTGGCTCAGGGGGTCCTCGAGTCTTGTTCTGTGTTTTTCTCAGAACTGAATCCTGGGCAGGACGTCATGAGGTGGCAGCACGTCTCATTATGTCACTACTCTGGGGACACCTGGGCTCCCATCCGGGCGCTCTCCTGCCGTGGGCACAGGCGAGGTGTCTGGCCTCTGCAGCTACCTCTGTTCCTCTGCACAGCGCCTCCCTCTGGGAGGGGGCGCTTCCTCATTCACAGCAGGGAGCTCGATGCCAGGCCAGGGGCCTGTGTGACAGTGGTGAGGAGAGGTCCGCCTGCGCGGCACAGGAGACCGCTCACGCCCCAGGCAGGGGCCCCCGCTGCCACCAAGGACTCGGAGCACAGGTGGCTCCAGCATGCGTGGAAAGTTCCGGGAACCTCGAGAAGACCCTGGCCACTCACAGAGGCTGCAACTGGGGAGGGGGCTCCTCCTGCCCAGGCATTTTGGCATTTTGAGCCACATGACCAGAGTCGTCCCAGAGTACCAGGAGACCCCTCCACGGGAGGGAGCGATGCACATCTCAGCAGACACCACACAGCCTGCGTATGCCCTGGGGTGACCCGCAGATGGGGGACATGTCCTACCTGAACCCGAGGGACCCAGGTCCCACTGCAGGCCGCAGGCGTCTCTCCAGGCAGATGAGCCCTGAAGAAGACAGGCAGGACCCTGGGTACTGCCCGCCCTCTCCCCAGCAGCACCCGTCTCCCACCCAGCCCAGACGCCGGGCCTCAGCCTGCTGGCTCCCTGGCTCTCCAGGCGCCTGCAGTGGCCCCAGGGCTCCTAGGTGCCACCACCTCCACGGCGGCCTGGGCTGCCTTCTCTGCCCTGCAGCAGGCCGCCACCCTCCTGCTGCCGCACCCCCTGCTGAGCTGCCCGGACCCTCTGCTCTGTGCTCCTGGGCAGCTCCTCCTCCCCCAGAGCCCAGCCCCTGCTGCTTCCTCAGGAGAGGCCAGGCCCTCTGAGTGACTGGCCCTGAGGTCCTGCTCTTGGTGGTGACTGGGTCAGTTCTGTCACTGCTTGTCCACCAAGAGGGGCTCCTGCCTACCACACTGCCCAGGCCAGAGGAGGTCCGAAGCAGGCCACAGGCCAAGGTCTTTGTGAACCATGAAGGACAAGAGGGGGAATGAAGGTGAGCACACAGACCCCAGGACTGAGGCCACAGGAGAGGCAGGGGTCACGTCCAGGGGTCTGTCCCCCACCCCAGAACCAAGGCTGACCTGGCTGAGGGCCCCGAGGGTGCAGGGATGGGTGGCTGGGAGCCTGGAGTCCACCAGACCACCCGGGGGTGGCTCCTTCCCCGGGATGCTGTTGTAGTAGTCGTGTCCCTCGGCCTCCTCCTCGTCCCCCAAGGCCGACTCCTCCAGCCCAGTCAGCCTGGGGACAGAGCAACAACTGGCTGGAGGGTAGAAAGGACAGTGGGACCTTGCCCACCAGGGCCTGCTGTGAAGCAGCTCCACCGTCCCCTTGGGATGCGGAGGCGGCACCTTGTCAGAGCCAGCCGCTCCTCACCCACCTCGGCCACCAGGCAGCAGAGGGTGACATGTCTGGTGGTACCTGGACACAGGATGTGGTGGAGTCCCTCAGACTGCAGACGCCCTTGGGCCCCGATTGCCTGGGGGGACTCGTCCACTGCAGCAGCGTCCTGGGTGCACTCTGCCGCTGCCACTCACTTGCCTGTACATTACTGGGCTCCCAACACGAAGGTGTGTGTCCCCCGGCTCCCTGGCCGCCGGCCAGCCCGCTGTCCCACAGCGGGTTCTCACACCTCCAGGTCGTGAACAACCACAGGGTGGCACTGTGCCGCTTGTGAAGGTGTGGCAGGCACAGCTGTGGGCACCTCCCGGCACTCCTCCTGCATGCTGTGGCAGGCAGGGCCGTCCAGCCCCCGGCAGGGCCACAGTAGCCTCAGCCTCGGCTGGACAGATGCTTGGGGGACCTGCTACTTAAACTTGGCCCCCCGCCCTGGGAGGGAGAAGACACGAGTCCTCCCGTGGGGACCTTCCCAGGGCCGAGGGAAGGAGGGCAGAGCCGGGCCCAGTGTGTGGGGGTGGCCTCACCTCTCAGGGGGCACCGCTGCCATCGGGGGGCCATGCAGGTACTGCTTGAAGCGCAGCTCAAAGGCCTGGCCCACGGTGCCGATCACGCTCTGCGCCAGACCCTCACAGCACTCCAGGATGTGGCAGGCTGGGGACAGCAGTGACCTGGTGACCTGGCTCCCCACCATGCCCCACGGGCCAGCCTCCCACTGTGCCTCACCTCTCTGGTTGATGGGGTCCTTGGCGACATAGGCCACGTAGTCCAGCATGTCCTGGGGAGAGGCGGAGGGTCAGCTGGACCTGCCTGGCCACACCCCCCAGGCAGGTCTGAGGAAAAGCCACGGGGTCTTGAGGCCGCTCGCCGTCCTGCTGGGCCTTACCGTGTCGCCGCCTGAGGCGAAGGAGATGGACTGCATGTGGTGGGTGGCGAGGACCTGGGGGAGGAAGGGCACCAGCTGCTGCCAGGCAGGACCCGCCACGGCCCTGTGCTGGGCAGGGCTGTGGGGGGCAAGAAGGCAGGGGCAGGGGTGCAGGTTCCCCTACCTGGCACCCTCCACGGCTGGACCGGGTCACCAAGACAACCAAGTCCCACCAGGACATTTGGCCCTGGAGGATGGGGCCCGGGCTTAGGGAGGGTGAGGTCAGGTCCGGTCACCAGGCTGCCTGCACTGGTGGACGCCTCACACTGCACCTCCAACACACAGCCACAGAGACACGGGGGACACACAGCCATGGTGACGCACCCCAGCAGCCCATCCCACGCACTGTCCACCTCGTTTGCTTATTTGCCTCATCTGCCACCTGTCACTCAAGCCCCTTCAGAACCCAGTGATGATCAGGCAGGCCGTGTCCTCCCACCAAAAGTCCATTCCTCAGCCTCATGGAGTCCCATGCCTTCCAGGGGACCCCAGCCAAGCTGCTCTCTCAGGGAGCCTGAGAACCCTCGGCAGGACCCCAGGTCAGCGCCTCACAAGGGCAGACGGTGAGGCCTCGGGCAGCCCCGTCTAGAGCTCGACCTCACATGGGCCTGAGGGCCTCCAGCACGTGGTAGAGGCCTCACAGCCCAGTCCACCCCAGGCTCTGGCCCTCTGGCCCCACTCCTCATGGCCTCACCACCCTCTCCAGAGCAGTCCCCTGGGGCCCTGCCACTGGACCTCTCTTGGGCGCCACCCCTCCCTCTTCACTCAGGGCCTGCTCAGCACCTGGCAGGCAAGAGTGCTCCGAGACTCCCTCCCGGGTCCCCACGGCCTCACTGTCAGCAGAGCTGCTCCTGGCCATCCATCGGCACAGGGAGCCCAGCCTCCATGTGCACAGGGCTCTAGACCCCTCCCAGCCCCCACACTCCCGGCTTGGCGGCTAGGTCCTGGCGCCAGCTGAGCTGCTGCCACAGGCCCCGAATCCCTCCGCCACCTAGCCCTGTAGCAAGGGCCCGCTGCCCCCACCCCCCAGCCTCACGGAGCCAGACCTGCTCCGGCTGCAGAGCCCCTCTCCCTGGGGGCGGAGTACCTTCCCAACGAAACCCCTGGAGTCGGCTGCACTTGCTCCCAGGCTGGGCTCCCACCCCAACCCGGCTCTGCATGCCCTCCTGCACCCCAGCCTCTGCCTCCACGGAGGCCCGAGCCAGCCTCCAAGCTGAATCTCCCTGCCTGAGGCTCCCTCGAGGTCGTCCTAAATGCCACCCAGCCTTACGTCCAGCCCAGACTCCTTTGACTCTCAGACCAGAAAGAGTAAGCGGCAAGTGTCCACAGCACCTGAGACCCAGACCTGTTCCAGGCCAGCGAGGGCCTCCCACAGTTGTCTCCTGAACCCCCCCGGCCCTCGTCGCCAGTCCCTGGGCAGGGGCTGTCTGGCCCCTCAGGTTGGTCACAGTGTGGCCCCTTTCCCCAGGGGCCCATCCCTGGCCTGGCTGGCCTCCTCGCAGGCCTGGCCCCTGGGTGGCTCTGGCCCCGAGCCCCTCACTGCCTCCCCGGGCCTCCCTGGTCCTGTGGGGCAGTGCTCCCAGGGTTCCTGATTGACCCTCATCTGTCTGCTTCCACCTGAGGCCAGAAGCCAGGCTCTCCCCGGCACGGCCTGCCTCCTCCCAGCTCTGACCACTGCGGATGCTCCACCCTGGGCCCAGGGAGCAGGCTGTGGTGCCCTGGGCTCCCGACTCCAGTGGCCCAGGGACACGTCCCTGGCGACGTCATGTGATGCACCAGCCCCACGCCTCCCACCCCACCTTAGTGTGCATCGGATGCTCCTGGACCCTCTGAGGGCCCTGGAGACCCCAGGAGGGGCCCAGGGCCTGAGGGCTGGGACGGGTGGCACCCACCTGGCGGGTGGCCGGCACCGAGAGGTTGAGGCCTTCGATGGAGATGTTGACAGAAATGCTCATGCCAGCAAAGCGCAGGTTGCTCTTGCCCAGGATGGAGGCCAGCGCCTTATTGGGGGCCTGGGTGGGCAGAGCGAGCATGGGCTGACGTGGCAGGGCCCAGCCCAGGGGCCAGGGCACCCCCCAGCCCAGCCTCCCTCTCCACCTCACCCACCTTCTTCTTCCAGGAGCCCCGGATTCCGGGCACAGCCTCGTGGAGTCGGTTGATGGCTTCCCTGTGAGTGAGGAGGAGGAGGACTGAGAGAGGACGGGTGCTCAGAGACAGTGGGGCACGGGGAGGACGGGGTCAGAGGGCAAGGAGCCAGGAGAGAGCGCCAGGGCTGAGATGGGGGGCCGGACGGGGGAGGGGGCACCAGGAGGAAGACTGGGCTGGCCACCACCCAGCCACCAGCCGGCCCCCTCAGCTCCAGGCCACCACACTCCCTTCTCCAGTGACAAGTGTAGCCCTGGGAGGGGTCAGACGCAGGGGACAGACAAGCAGGCAGGGTCCTCTGCCTGGTGCCCCTGGGGGCATGAAGAGACCCCAACAGTGTGGGAGTCACTGGTCCCCAGGAGGCTGGGACCTGCGCAGGACCCTGAGGATCTCAGAGGACACAGGTTCTGGAGGAGCTCAGCATCGTGCAGAGAAATGGGCGGGGACACAGGGCGGGGACACAGGGCGGGCCGTTGCTGAGGAAGCAGTCACTGTCACCAGACAACGGAGCGTTCCCACTCTAGGCATCCCCAGAGACAGAGGCACCCACCAAGGCTTGTGACCACTCCCGAGCACGGCAAAGAGGCGGCAGCCCAGGGGTCCACAGGAGGACAGAGGGACACACAGCACAGTCCCTCCCCCTGGAACATCCCTTGGTCACCAGCAGGAGCAAGGTGACACAGCTGCAGGACCTGAGGACCTGGTGCTCAGTGAGAGCTGGACACACAAGGACACAGTGTGTGACCCAGTGACGGGGGGGTCCAGGACAGGGGAGTCCTGTGGTGCGGGCTGGGAGCGGATGGGGGACTGCTTGTAGGGATGGGCTTCCTTCTGGGGCGACGGAATGTTCTGGACCTAGACAGAGGCCCGGTCACACACAGTGTGGAGACACCAAGAAGCACAGACTTGTGCACCCTGAACAGGTGGCGGTGCGGTGTGTGGACTGTACCCAAGAGCACATTTTAAGTTCGTAGTTAGGGAATAAGTCGATTTCCACAGGAAGAAGCTGGTCCCACACGCAGGCCCTGCTGTGCCCAACCTGAATGGCCCTTCTGGACAGCTCCGAGCCCTGTGAGATGGCCCAGGATGGCCCGGGCCCCTCCCGGGCAGGCCCCAGGGAGCAGCCAGCGCCTGGAGTCCACTGCGAGGGGCCCTCCCCAGCCCCTCCCACAGTCACAGAACACACAGGGCAGGCGGGCTGTGCCGCCCCACCAAGGAAAACAGGGTCTGCCGAGCAAGAGCCACCAAGGAGCCACAGCCGGCCCCACAACCTGGCCCTGCCCGCCCGTCCCCACCACCAAGGCTCACCTGGTCACCTGGGTGCGTGTGCTGAAGTCCAGGGAGCGCATGGAGCGGAGCACCTCGATGCAGCCCATGTACTGGGGAGAGAGAGAGCAGCCTGAGCAGGTGTGGCCAGGTCCCTTCTCCAGCCAGCGGGCGCCACACTCCTGGTGCCTATCAGCCCCCGCCCCTGCCTCAGGGCCTCTCCATTCCCCTGGCCCTTCCCACCTGGAGGGGAGCTCAACTCCCCACGACTCCACTGTGCTGTGTGTCCACCCCTACCTGTCTGCCCTGGCTCAGACCTCCCCTCTAGCAGGTGAGACGAGCACAGGGACCGTGTGGTCCTATTTGCTGCACCCTGCACCCCGCACAGGGCCTGGGAATAGGACAGAGACTGGGGGCCAGCGAAGACCCGATAAGGACCGTCACGCCCTCTACAGGAAGCTACGAGGACAGCCACTTCCTTGGGAAGCTGACTCTCAGAGGGACCCTGAAGCAGAGACTTCAGCAGACACCTGGCTGTCCAGAGGGGCACAAGGGGGACCGGCCTTGGCGGGATAGGCGGCCTCGCTGGGCACTGCATATGGTCCACTCAATTCTACTTTGCAAGTTTTTTTTTTTATTTGGGTTGATTTCTTTTTATTTCTGTATGATTTTCTTTTGAAATGGGGTCTCACTATGTCACCCAGGCTGGGCCCAAAGCCCCTGGGCTCCCACGACTCCTGCTTCAGCCTTCCAAGTGCGAGCCAACAGGTGGGCCACACACCGTGCCTGATCTGTGATGTCATCTCAGTCTTTAAAATATTATAAAAATAAAACCAATGGGGCTGGAGATACAGCTCAGTTGGTAGAGTTTTTGCCTCGCATGTACAAGGCCCTGGGTTCGATCCCCAGTACCACAAATAAATAAATAAATAAATAAAACACAAACTTTGAGCCTGCAGCTTCATTTTCAAGACTGCCTCCCTTGTGGAGGTCCTGCCTCCACTCTCCTCAGGTGCCCTGTGAGCCTTCCCTGCCCTCCGTCTTGGGACAACCCTGACCCATGCTGAGGAGCGGGAGGCTCCCACGTGGCACCTGGGACACACTTGTGCCTGAGCCTGTCTGCTAGAGGCACACTTACTGGCTGGCCTGTGTTTTGGCCAAAGCTAAACAAGTCATGGGCTTGGAAGAGAAGAGTATGCAACTGTAAAAAGAAACAAGTGACCGTTATGTAGTTTATGAGATGATCCCCTGCGTCTCAGGCAAGGAGAGGTGCCGTGGGGTAGAAGCAGGCAAGCAGGAACTCGGGTGCGTGCACACAAGATGGTGCCTGCAAACAGTGCCTGTGGGTTGTGTGGTCTGGCAGGGTCCCAGAGGCTGATGCAGATGGTTGTGAAATGGCCACAAGCCACCCCTCCTTCCTCATGCCCTCAGGCCAAGTGTGCAGTCTGTTTTCCTTCTTGACCGTGACACACACAGCCCCAGGAGCCTGCATGTCCTGGAGTATGCCCCTGATGTTCTCAGGGGCCCTGCAACCACCCTGGCCACCAGGCCAGACTCCACACCAGACACATGTAGCCACACAATCAGGACCAGGAAGGCCACTCAGCCCTGGCCAGCCTGCAGGACGGTAGGAAATAGCCAGTGTTCACAGTTCAGTCCCACCAGCTGTGTGCAGCTGTGTCAGCCAGCAAGAGCTCAGGGACAGGAGGACCCAGAGGACAGTGAGTCTGTAGGCCAAGGCCACCAGGGGAGCCCAGGAGTGGGGACCAGAGAAGAGAGGCTGTGGACTCACTCTAACTTGGCTGCATCAGCGTAGAGAGCTACCAAGGAGAAATGGGGTGGTGGCAAGGAGGAGAGGCCACAGGGCTGGGGGCATTATTCTAGGAAAGTTGAGGGCTTCTGGGGGTGTGAACCAAGCTGCCTCACCTGTTGGATGGACAAAGGCAGATGGGTGAATAAGAGATGATGAATGGGTGGACAAATGAAAAGACGGATGGTTAGATGGGTGATGGATGGATGATGGGTAGATGGAGAAAGAATGAATGAATAGATGGAAGATAGATGGATGAGTAGATGGAGGATGGATGGATGAGTAGATGGAAGATGGATAGGTAGATGGAGGAGAGATAAATGGACAGATGGAGGATAGATGGATGGGTAGATGAAAGATGGATGGATGGACAGATAAATGGAGGATGGATGGATAGATAGATGGAGGATGAATGGATGGGTAGATGGAGGATGGATGGATGGATAGATGGAGGATGGATGGATAGGTAGAAGATGAATGGATGGATAGATGAAGGATGGATGGATGGGTAGATGGAGGATGGATGCATGGATAGGTGGAGGATGGATGGATGGGTAGATGGAGGATGGATGGATGGATGGATGGATGGATGGATAGGTGGAGGATGGATGGATGGGTAGATGAAGGATGGATGGATGGATGGATAGGTGGAGGATGGATGGATGGATAGGTGGAGGATGGATGGATGGGTAGATGGAGGATGGATGGATGGATAGGTGGAGGATGGATGGATGGATAGGTGGAGGATGGATGGATGGGTAGATGGAGGATGGATGGATGGATAGGTGGAGGATGGATGGATGGATAGGTGGAGGATGGATGGATGGGTAGATGGAGGATGGATGGATAGGTGGAGGATGGATGGATGGGTAGGTGGAGGATGGATGGATGGATAGGTGGAGGATGGATGGATGGATAGGTGGAGGATGGATGGATGGATGGATAGGTGGAGGATGGATGGATGGATAGGTGGAGGATGGATGGATGGGTAGATGGAGGATGGATGGATGGGTAGATGGAGGATGGATGGATGGATGGATAGGTGGAGGATGGATGGATGGGTAGATGGAGAATGGATGGATGGATGGATAGGTGGAGGATGGATGGATGGATAGGTGGAGGGTGGATGGATGGATAGGTGCAGGGTGGATGGATGGATAGATGGAGGATGGATGGATAGGTAGAAGATGAATGGATGGATAGATGGAGGATGGATGGATGGATGGATAGGTGGAGGATGGATGGATGGGTAGATGGAGGACAACTGGATAGATGAAGGATGGATGGATAGGGAAATGGAGGATAGATGGGTAGACAAATGACAGATAGATAAATAGATGGAGAATGGATGGGTAGATGGAGGATGGATAGATGGATGGAGGATGGATGGATGGGTAGATGAAGGATGGATGGATGGGTAGGTGGAGGATAGATGTGCAGATGGAGGACAGATGGATGGGTGATGAATGCGTACATGGGTGATGGATGGGTAGATAGAGGATGAACGGGTAGATAGGAAAGATGGATGGATGGAGGATGGATAGATAGATGGAGAATGGATGGATGGGTAGATGGAGGATGGATGGATGGATAGATGGAGGACAGATGGATAGGTAGATGGAGGAAATGTGGATAGGTAGATGGAGGATGGACGGATGAATGGGTAGATGGGTGATGGATGGATGGGTAGATGGAGAATGGATGGGTGATGGAGGATGGATGGTCTACTGACAGATTTAAGCTGCATGATGCATGATGAATGGATGGTTGGATGGATGGATGGATGAATGAAAGATGATGGATAGATTTTTGATGGGTAGATGAATATATAGTTAGATAAGCAAACGGATGGAGGGATAAGGGATGTATGTATGTATGAGTGGATAGATGGATGGGGGAATGGGTAACGGATGTGTGGATGGATGGACAGATGGGCATTGATTGGTGACATACGCTGGTGGGCAGGAAGATGAGTGGATGGAGAGTTGGATGAATGGACAGTGGGTGGACTGACAGATGAATGATGGGCGTGGACTATATGCCAAGCTACTGTCTGACATGTAGCAACTTGAAGGGAAGCCGGTCTCTGTCCCCAGGATGGAGTGGACAGCTCTGGATGGATGCCAGTGCTTAGTAGGTACCTCCCTCAGCAGTACATGTGTCTCGGGGTTGTTCATGCTAGTGTCTGGTGTTCTAGGACTGTAGGGGGAGGAACACTGCTTATGCTGCTGGAGAATGGACGATGGGTAGATGGAGCTCACCATAGATTGGAGCCAATTTGGTAACTCTGTTTTCCCAACCATGAGACATGAGGGATGGGAGGTGGAACCTCTTAAGAAGAAGAAGAAAATTCCCAAGGAAGGAATGATCTTCTCCTCTGGTAGAGAGGCTGGGCCCACACATGATGCTTGGTGCTGTAGCTGCACTTCATGGTAGTGAGGGCCTCTGAGCCAGCACATTGAAGATGGCTGTGCCAAAAGAACCTGGTCTTCGGAGAACTCCCAGTAGCCACCCTACCCCTTGCCTTCAAGAAATAAGCTGTCTCTGCTGCCCAAAATGTCTCAGCCCTGCAAACCCCTCCGTTCTCCTGCACAGCACCAGCATAGGAGAACCACACTGCAGGGAGGAGGAGAGTCCTTGACTTGTGTCCAGGTCTCCATCCTTCCCTCAGTTAGCGTGGGCCTCCTGTGGGACTCTCCTGCAGGGGTGTTTTTCAGAGCCAGGCACACACCAGTTCTCTGGTGAAGTGGTGATGGTAGCCCAGCACCTAGGGAAGCCAGAAGTCCTTACTGTGAACTCTGTCCAACATGTCAAAATGGCTCTAGGGGAGGGTCAAGCCTCAGAGGCCCTCCACTTCCAGTATCACCAGAGCCTCTGTCTCATTTTCTCTAACCTCTTCCTGCTTCCAGATGAGACCCACTCACAGGTCCCTGATGGACACGAAACTTGGGGGGACACTGTGATGCTGGGGGACTGTTCTAGAGAAAGCAAAGACATAACTACCGAACACACAAGGTTTCAGGATCCTGGTGCCGGAGAAACGGCCCAGCGTCCAGCCACGTTTGGGAATGGGTGATCGGCCTCTGAACGGGTGTGCGGGAGGCTATCCCAGGAGACCAGGCAGGAGATGGAGGGCCATCACACACCTGCAGGTTGCTTTCAGGTGGTTTATCAAAGCTACGCACACACAAGGTCAGGTGGACAGAGAAGGCAAGATGCCAGCGTCCCAGGTGGCACTGCGGGCACCCCTTCTCCAGCTTCCTCTATGTTGAGAAGGTCTTTAATATAAACCCAGATTAACAATGGGGGGGTCTCTTCAGCCACATCTGAGGTCCAGTGGTCTCACAGCAGGACTCCTGGGGTCTAGACATCAGCGCTTACCAAAGAGCCCTTCCCACCCTGGCACCTCTGGCCAGGCCTCCGCAGGCCCCAACTGATGGAGCTTTCCACCGGCAGCCGGCTGGGTGGAAGCCCTTATCCAGGTCTCAGCAAGGGGTGCTTAATCTGCGCATGCGTGGCCCCTGCCCACCCGCCGCCTCCCCACGTGACGCGGAGGGAACCGGGACCCCAGCGCATCCCGGATGGAGACAACCGCAGAGCGCCGGCTGGAGATGGGGGTCCGGGGTGATGGGGAGAAAGGGTGGAGAGGCCACTCCTGGCTTTGGGGGCCAGAGACCCCAGAGAGAAAATGGGGGAGAGTCCTAGAACTCGCGACTGGGGAGGACCGGACCAGGGAGTCCTTGAGTGCGCACTCACCCGAACGATGTAGGAGACCCCGGGCCCCAGGACCTGGGCGTCGGGGTGCAGCCAGCCATGCGCGGGCTTGTGGATGAAGCTTCCCTTGCGGACCCACTCGTCCGCGGCGGCTTCTGGGGGCCCGGATGCACCCCGCGCGCCCCGAGGCCCGCGCGCCCCCGCAGCTCGGCAGCGGTTGAGCGCCGGCAGAGGACAAGGCGCGGCGCAGCGCGGCTCGCAGGCGCCAAGCACAGCAGCAGCCAACGCGGGGACGCCCGCTGGGCCCTCGCGCTCGGTCTGAGGGTCCGCCGCCCGCGCTGCTGCGGGGCCGCGGCCCAGGAAGCCGCCGGGCGCCACAAACTTCCACTGAGGCATGCGCGGCAGCAGCGCGCAGAAGGTGGTGGGTGCCTCGGGCTCGGGGGGCGCGGGGGGCGCGGAGGGCGCCCGCCAGCCCGGACCCTGCGTCATGGCTGCGGCCACCGGACCGAGCCGACCCGGGCTGTGCCTGGCGCTATCGAGGCCCTGAGCTCCCGCGCGCTCCTCCCCTCCCTGGCCTGGTGATGTCACCGACCGGCCCAGCGCGCAGCCGCAGGGGGCTGCGCCCCTGGGACCCCAGCCCTGCGCATCCTGGCGCCTGGCTGGGGCCTGAGGGATGGAAGCCCACGGAGGCCAGAGAGGGGCGAGGTATCGGACCCTGAGCCCAGCAACAACCCCCACAACACCCCCACGCCCGCCGCTCTAGGAGGTACAGCTGGGAGAGGCTTAGAAATCACCTTTGGACTGATGGGGAAACTGAGGCCGGAGAGAGGCAGTGGCTCCATCAAAGACGAAAAGAACCCCTATCCTAAGGTCAGCCCTCACTCTCTGCACTGAGCCAGGCAGATCACGTCTGGGGAGGGAAGGGGCGTGCCCCAGGGCGCACCGCGGAGGCTCTGCCCTGCAGTGCCGGGGCTCCAGGGTTCTGAGATGGAGCCCTCCCGCTGTCTCTCCCTGGACGCAGTTTCCCGGGCCTGTAAACCCAGAGCGTGGACTGAAGGGTCACTCCTCTTATTTCTGAAGAGCGCTGTCCCGCCTCAGCGCATCCAACTCCGGCCTTGGCCTCCCAGGCCCCCAGTCCCAGCCTCATTGACCTTGGGAGCAGGGCCCACTGCGTTCAAACCCCAGGAGTTCCGCACGGAACGGGAACGGAGTGTCGCAGCCCCCTGGCCTTGATCCTGTTTGACCGCCAGCCCCCGCCCAGGAAAGGTCTGGAAAACAAAGGGGGGGGGATGCAGCAGGTGGACAAGGAGGGGCACAACCCAGAACTGACCCATAAACGCAAGCGATGAGGTCACACCCGCTGCGCCCGCAGAACGGGAGGGCGGTGCGGCCACGATTGGCCCGGGACTTTTGAGTGACTACCACTGCCCGGGTGTGTCGGCGCTGCCAGGAGCTGCGCCTTGGTGGGAGAAAACGGTGGGAACACATTGCCCAGCCGGGGAAACACCTGTGGGATTGGGTGGTGCTTACTCTGGGCAGGGGATGGAGAGGATTCACTTCCAGGTGCCAGACCTGAATTAGGGTCTGAGCAGACAAGGTTTGTAGGTACTGGGCCTGGCCTGTTAGTCCAGGATGTGGTGGTCAGATGACACCACCACTGTTAACTGTCCCTAGTAGAGAGTGGCATGAGTGGAGCCCAGTGGTTAGGGTTCAAATCCTGCATCATCCTGACATTGGATCCATAGGGTACCATTGATGCATGAACAGGTCCCCAACTCTAAAGCCTAGGTGACATTTCATCAAGACCATCAGCAGTGCACAGCTACTGATAGCAGGTGTTGGAAGACACACATCTTTAAACCAGATTCCACATTCCCTCTCCCAGGAACTCTGCCTGCCTCCCCAGCTCAAAACTTCCACCTCTGGCCTCCCCCAGCCTGAGTCCCATCTGCCCCCACCTGCAGGGGGCTGGAGAGCTGTGGGACTGGCCCTGGAGAGGAGTGTTCTGCGGCAGGAACAGATGCTACATGACCTGGTGTGCCTGAGGCTGACATTATTGATAAGGAGTTCTAAAGGGTACAGTGGGGAGGGCAGGTACCTCAGGGTTGCCCCAACCCACATTCAGTGGCCACACGTTCATGAGAAGCAGGAAAGAGCCCAGATTTGGCAGACACCAGAGCTGTGTCAGGGATCCAGATCCTAGTGGGGCCAGACACCAAGTTCTAGGGCACAGGACGCTCCATCTCCAGCTAGGGAAAGGGACACTTTCCCCTGCCTGACCTAGCCTGGCATGACCGTGACAGAAGAAACTGGGTCACTAGGAGGAGACTGGCCCTCACGCTGTTTGGAGCCACAGGCCGTGGCCCCCGGGGACAGTGGGTCATATAACCTAGAAGGACCTCAGACAGCAGGGATTAGGGTTAGGGAGAGACTCCTGCCTGCTGCCCTGGTTTCTCTGAGAGCCACATCTGCCCACACCCACTCAGCCACTCAGGAAACGGGGGTGGACATGGGGGATATGCCCTGTTAGGGTGTGAAGTCTGCAGCCATGGTGACAGCCCTCTTAGAGTGGCGGATGCCTATGGTGTACACTGGGGTCCTGGCTTTGTTCACAGTGACCTGCTCCGGGCTGTGGGTGCCAGGGCCAGGTGCCTCCTCCAGCAAGCGCAGGGCACGGGGCCGCCCCAGCATGGTGAATGCTGGCCATCGCTGACGGTAGGTGTTGGGGTTTGGGCTGTCATATTGGCCAGGGCCTGGTGTATCAGCAGGGTCCTGTGGGGGGCGGGCAGGGCGGGTGCGGCCCACCACGGTGTAACTTGGGCTCCTGGGCTTGGTGAAGATCTGTGAGCCCCAGATGGGTGGCATGGTGTAGGCATTAGGGGCGGGAACTGGGGTGTCCAGGGGTTTCTGGTAGAGGCGGGAGCCCAGCGTGAAAGCTGGGGGGTTCCGCTGGCGCAGAGGGGGCACTTTCTCTGGGCTGTAGGACCCAGGGCCTGGTGTCACCTCCAGACCTGCGAGAGTAGAAACACAGGGTTGGTGCAAGACAGAGTCCTGGCCTGCTGGACGCTTGGCACGGCCCCCACTGCCCACTAGCATCCTGAGACTCATGGCCTGTTTTCCAAGCACAGGCCTTTGGCAGGCTCAGCCCATCAGGCCTTCTGTTTGCCATCCCTGCTCCCAAGGGTACATCTCGCCCCCAGCCAGAACTGCAGTCCAGCCCTTCTGCTGCCCTCCCTATACCCTCTTATGGACAGAGCCCTCACACCCCTTCCTGGGACCCCCAACTTGGATCCTCCTCTCCCTAGTCCTGGCCACTCTAGGTTTTAGTCCACCAATACACTGGGCTCTTGTGAAGTCCATGTGTGATTTAGGGGTGGGTGGGTGGGTGGTCAGGAAGCAGGGGATTGGTGGTGGGCCTGAAAATGTGGAGATGGGTTGATGGGTGAGTGGCTGAGTGGAAGGAAGGAAAGGCTCTTGGGTGGATGGTTGGTGGGTGGAGGGGTATGTGGGTGCATGGATGGTGGATAGTGGGTAGGTGGATGGGTAGGTGGGATGAGGTGGGTGAATGGACAGTGAGTGGATGGTTAGGTAGGTGGGTGGATGGTGGATGATAGGTGGGGAGATGGGTAGGTGAATGGATGGATAGGTTGGATGGGTCAGTGGGATGAGTGGGTGGGTGAATGGGTGGGTGGATGGATGGAAGATGGACAGATGGTGGGTGGATGGGTAGGTGGGTGGGTGGTGGGTGGATGGGTAGGTGGGTAGGTAGGTAGGTGGGTGGATGGTGGGTGGATGGGTAGGTGGATGGGTAGGTGGATGGTGGGTGGATGGGTGGGTGGTGGGTGGATGGGTAGGAGGATGGATGGTGGGGGGATGGGTAGGAGGGGGGATGGTGGGGGATGGGTAGGTGGGTGGGTGATGGGTGGATGGGTAGGTGGGTGGATATACTTGTGGTGTGAGAGGGAAGGCAGCTGTGTGGACAATGAGGCCGTAGTCCCGGGGTGTATGGGTGTGAGCCGGCTGATGGCCAGGAAGGGACCTGAGCAGAGTACCAGAGCACTGCAGCTGCTGGCCTTCTGGTGCCCTCACATGCCATGTGCATAGGCCATGGCGACCCTGGTCCACTCACATCCAGGTCCTCTCAGGCCTGGTGGGCACTGGAGGTGTGACCCCCTGTGCAAGTCTCTTGGTCTGTTCTAAGGACTCTGAGGATGAGGGCTGAGGCCCTAAGGACAGCCCCACGGGCAGTGCTGGGCACACTCACCCCGAGACTTTCCACGACCCTGCATGGAGTAAGCTGGGGTGCAGCTGCGGCCAAAGCGAGTTACTTTCGGGTCCAGGAAGTAGACAGGCCCTGGGCTGGCATCCTGCGGAGGAGCTGAGGAAAGGCTCCCAGAGTCCTGAGGGAGCCTCACACCCACAGCACCCTGACTGCCCAACACATGGCCCTGCTGTGGGGAGCCCTGGCCCTGAGCTGGTGGCAGGCCTCTGCTCTGACCACCAGACCACAGCCAAGCCCCCCTGCCGCCCCCAGGCCTGGAGCCAGAGCAAGGAGGCCTGGCTGGCGCTGGTGCTGCTCCTGGCTTGTGGGCACACCTGCCGTGCCCAGAGCCCAGGGCCTTGTCCAGTCCCAGCAGGGCCACTCAGGGGATAGGGTCCTTGGGAAAAGCCTTGGGCAGCGGGTTCATCCATGTCGATAGGGTCCACGCACATGGCCCAGGACCCCGTCTCAGTGCATGGAGCAGTTCTGCCGTCACCGAGCCCACTCTGCGCGCATGACGAGTCAGCCTCCAGGCCGCTCATGCTGGATCCACTCAGGAGAAGAGAAGCGACTGGCACCCTGGTCTCGTGCTGGGCTGGGTGCAGCCCCACGGGCAGCATGCACCCACACGAGTGGCGCGGCCCTGCAGGAAGGGCCAGCACTCACTGGTTCCTCACCCACCCTGAGGGCTGTGGAGGGACGCCGAGGCCCTGGGCCTCTGGAGTGGCCAGACTGGGTGTCACCCCGCTCCTCCCCACACCAGGGTGCACAGGTGGTGCCCAGCCCGCTGGTGTCCAGATCCTAGTCAGTCTCATGCTCCTCCCCAGGCCTGGCCACAGGCCCGTCTCCCTCCCACTCTCACCCTACCCCCAGAGGCATGGCTGTCACCTGCATTTGTCAGAACACGTGCTCTCTGGCTGCCCTGCGTAGAGTCGGAGGCTCTCCTCTCCTCCTCAGGCTCTGGACCCCCATCCTTGGGGACTCTGTGCCACAGGCTCCACCTAGTTTCTTCCCCTCCTGGGGGCGCCACTGAGCGCCTAGTCCTCCTACAAAGCCCTGCTGTCTCCACGACTCAGCTTTCGCCCTGAGCCTCAGCAAAAGCTCTGCCATCCCCTCTGCCCCACACTGGGCAGTGTCCATCCCTCCATCCCAGGATATGTTCTCAGCCGGGGATCAGAACCTGGGAACCCAGGTCTGCCAGGTTCTGACCCAGCCTGGCCTCATCCTCTGCCAACACAGATGCCAACAGATGCCTGGGTTGCTCCAGGGCCAGGCAGCTCTGGGGCCTCTGGTTGAGGACGGGCACGGGTCCCCAGGCTGAAAGAGGCTTCTGCAGCCATTCCTCTGGTCAGCCCAGAAGTCTCCACCAAGCAGTGGACCAGCCACCCTGCCCCAACCTCCTGCCAGCCAGGGGCCTCAGCAACCCTGGGCATTGTGTGGTGGGCGGAGTGAAGCTGGTGTGAGGCTCAGGCTTGTTGCATTTGGTGCTGGGGCCAAGCTAGAGGCCAGGTGCCTCTGTGCCCCACAGGCTTCACTACCCTGGGAACAATGTGCTCAGCACCCACAGGCAAAGGCCTGCTTCTACAGAGCACCTCCCGGACGCTAGTACCCTTGTGTCTTCTGGGTGCATCTGCAGTGCTGGGGATGGAGCCCAGGCCTGCTGGACCAGCCACACCCCAGCTGCATTGCTAACATTTAACAGAGGGTCCGCTAAGCAAGTCGCCTGAAGTCAAGGAGCAAGGAATTGCAAAAGGGAGAAGGTGAGCACAGCTCTTAACAGCATATAGGCTTCTCCTCCTCCCCTCTCTTAATCTGGAAGAAAACAGGACCAGAGAGGGCAGTAGCTTGCCTGAGGGTACACAGCCAATGGGAGATGGAGCAGGCTGTGGTCAGCCCTGCTGCTTCCCACTTCATCAGTTGGGGGACTGAATGTATGGGGCAAAAAGGCCCAAAATGCTACTGGGGAATTCTGGAGGCTTGGCCAACCCCAGCACACCATGCCCTCGCCAGCTGGCCTTACCTCTGCTGGGCCTCCGGGTCAGTGAGTAGGCAGGACTGGCCACCTTGGTGCAGTCATGGTTGACGTAGCCAACTGTAGATGGCAGGTTGTACAAGCCTGGCCCAGAGCCTGCAACCCAACCCACAGGTCTCAGCCTGGTGGGAACCCCCAAGGCTGGGGAAGGAGCCCTGGCCCTCCTCCTGAGTCCCACCCAGGTGGGAGAGGGAAGCAAGAGGCAGCCCACTTAGGACAGGATGATGCCCACACTGTGAGTCAAACATGAATCCCAAGAGTGGGAAAGGCGGGAGCCCAAGCTGCCTCTGCCTGTGCCCACAGGGAGGTGCCAGGCCCAGGACTGCCATAGGGTGAGCTGGGTCAGGCCCAGGACGCTGGTGCAGGGGGCACAAGGGCCAGGACGCTGGCAAAGGGGGAGCCAGGGTCAGGACACTGGCACAGGGGTCAGGACAATGGCACAGGTGAGATGGGGAGTCAGGATGCAGGCACAGGGGAGCTGGGGTCAGGACACTGTCACAGGGGAACTGGGGAGTCAGGACACTGGCACAGGGGGAGCTGGGGAGTCAGGATGCAGGCACAGGGGGAGCTGGGGAGTCAGGACACTGGCACAGGGGAGCTGGGGAGTCAGGACACTGGCACGGGGAGCTGGGGAGTCAGGACACTGTCACAGGGGAGCTGGGGAGTCAGGACACTGGCACAGGGGGAGCTGGGGAGTCAGGACACTGTCACAGGGGAGCTGGGGAGTCAGGACACTGGCACAGGGGGAGCTGGGGAGTCAGGACACTGTCACAGGGGAGCTGGGGAGTCAGGACACTGGCAGAGGGGAGCTGGGGTCAGGACACTGGCACAGGGGGAGCTGGGGAGTCAGGACACTGGCACAGGGGGAGCTGGGGAGTCAGGACACTGGCACAGGGGGAGCTGGGGAGTCAGGACACTGTCACAGGGGAGCTGGGGAGTCAGGACACTGGCACAGGGGGAGCTGGGGAGTCAGGACGCAGGCACAGGGGGAGCTGGGGAGTCAGGACACTGGCACAGGGGAGCTGGGGAGTCAGGACACTGGCACAGGGGAGTTGGGGAGTCAGGACACTGGCACAGGGGGAGCTGGGGAGTCAGGACACTGGCACAGGGGGAGCTGGGGAGTCAGGACACTGGCACAGGGGGAGCTGGGGAGTCAGGACACTGGCACAGGGGGAGCTGGGGAGTCAGGATGCAGGCACAGGGGAGCTGGGGAGTCAGGACACTGTCACAGGGGGAGCTGGGGAGTCAGGACACTGTCACAGGGGAGTTGGGGAGTCAGGACACTGTCACAGGGGGAGCTGGGGAGTCAGGACACTGTCACAGGGGAGCTGGGGAGTCAGGACACTGGCACAGGGGGAGCTGGGGAGTCAGGACGCAGGCACAGGGGGAGCTGGGGAGTCAGGACACTGGCACAGGGGAGCT